CAAGGAGAGAGACTCTCTTTCCTTGTTTAAAGTGGCCTCTAAAGATCGCACTTCCTGTCTAACAATATGTTTGCCCCCACTACCTTTACATTCCCTCTATTGTCTTTTTGCTCGATGGATTTGCCACACCTGTCAAGTACCAATTTCAGTGCAACACCTAATGATAGACTGTCCAATGTACTCAACAGCAAGATCGACAGCAAAAATAAAACACAATTTAAAAGAAACTCTTAAAGAAGACATCAGTAATACAATAAATTTTATCAAAAATTATCAACTGTATAACAAACTGTAACAAAACATAATTTTTTATTTATTTTTGTATTATTCAAAACTGTTATGTAAATTTAAATAAAAATGCAAAAAATAAAGATATACCACCCCGCTAATAACCCTAGGGGTTGATGCGGTAAAAATAAACTTAATGGTGTAAATTAAAAATGACCAAAATCACAAAAATTATGTTTGTATAGGTTTGTGATAACAAATAACAGTCGTTTGTTTAGAGGAAATTATTAATTTAGAGATGGTCGAGATGGTTCCAGAGAAATTATAGCTGTCATCTTCAGTAGAATCGTCATCATTTCTGCAATTAATAAGTCGAGGGGAATCCATTATTGATGATCGATTATTAATTTTCTTCTATCGAAAACCAATGTGATTCAAAAACCTTGATAAAGTTGAAGGCGAATACGTAATAGAATAGTCTTTAACAAGTTTATCTTAGATCATACTAAGCTTTGGAATTAGGTTCTTTGAATAGAAATTATAAATTGCTCTTCTAATTACCTCAGCGTCTTTTTCATTCAACTATTATTGTCTGTAGTTGATTTTTTTGTGTTACAAACTATTAATTAATTAAAAAAAATAGCTTGAAAACATTCTAATATACTGGAAAATAGTATATTTATTAAAAACAATTTCAAAAAATTATTTAGAAGCCGTCTGAAGGATAATAAGTCGAGGCATCTATGAAGTTAAAAATAATGGGGATTTGTCCAAATATCCACAGCCTTATCTTCTTTGCCTTATCTGGCAACACCGCCGACGTCATAGATATTAATTCATGACCGTAGCAGAATTGCTGACTGCCAATCGCTTTAGCATGATTCCAGCTACACTCGAACTTCAATCTGCTGAAGTCTCCACCGTGAGCGGAATGCTAATTTTGCTCTCTGAACTATGCCGGCCACTCTTTTTTTCCTGTCTTTTCTTTTTGTCTTCTTTTTTATTTGTCGCTGTATCTGGTATTGGGAACATCGGACTCGGATCTCAAATTAAAAAGGGCAACTGTGAACAGGTTTTTAGATTAAAACTTTTATAGGAAAAGATTAATTTTGTAACGGTTGATATTAATAATAGGGAGGAGCTTTGGATATAGTCAGATATGCATTTATTTAAGCATTTTGCTTTTCAATTAAATTCCCAGAATGTTGATTAAACGTGCTTAAATTGGAATTGCGATCGATGGATATCAATTCATGTCCTCTCATTTAATTTTTTTTTTAAGTTATCAGTTGTTTCGAAACGGAGAATCATTGCGTTAAAAAAACAGTAAAAGGAAAACTAAACAAAAATTATCTAAAGAAAAAAAGCAAGACACCTTTTTGAATAATTATTTTTGTTCACGTGTTCTGTTTGTTACATGGACGTATAAATAATGTTATGATTAATGTTTTTAATTTATTAATTTTACCCTGAATTACGATCGTGTATTTACACCCACATAACTACTATCGTGGGGCCATAGATGACTCGAACTTTAAAAACGTTTAAACAAGATATAAAAATGTATTTATTATTTTTTTTGTATTTTTGATAAATGGATGTGTATGCATATAAAAAAGAGGCTTTTTGTAAACTTTTATTTCAAGAAAGTTAAGATACTATAATAAAAATAACATAACTTTTTAAAATAAATTTGATCAAAAATAACTCATTATAATAACAAAAAAATATGTCTTAAATTGAAATTAACGGTTCATTTTCTGAAAAGTACTCCTACAAAGTAACGTCTTACAAAAGAAAATCATAATAGAGTAACATAAGTAACATAATAGACTAGAGTAATATAAAAAACAAGAGTCATGTTTTTGTCATAATGTTAGATTATTCCAACAAAAATATTTATGTATTCTTTGCACATAGTGCAGGTAATTCTCTGAAGTGAATGTGTTTTGCAGGTGGTCCTATGACATTCTGAGCAAAATGTGGAATATTTGTTATACTTATCTCTGGGACACTAGTAGCATCTACGTTTTACAACTGGCCTTTCTGGTCTAGTCTGATCTTGATGAGTCACTTTATTTTCTAATGCTCGGAAATTATCGAACGTAATTCTCTGGACAAATTTTTCATTGCAAATCTTACTTCTAAATCTTTATTTATAAGACTGATTCCCAGCTTTTGAATAAAAGATGATCGATTTTTTCTAACCCAGGTGACTATTTACTATAGCGATATCCATTATGGAATACCAAATTACTAAAGACCATCGCTGGCATCTTCGACCTGATCCATAAAGTGCACAATTTTGATCCAGCACATCAACGCCCCCTTTCGACGAATTGTAGAAAGCTATTCTATCAGGTTTTTTACTTTCCTGGTCAACAGATTTGTCGTGATGCATAGACAACAACATAATTACACTTTTATTTTTTAGGGACACGATACGATTGTATTGTCTCGTGTAAAACCAAATAAACACTTTGGTTGAAATTGTGGAGGAATTTCTCTCTTATTTTTACGCTTTGTGTCTACATAAGTAAGTCAAAGTTTTGAGTTCATCAACTAGCTCTTTTGAACTGAACCAATTATCAAAGTGATATTTCGGTTACTGGTAATTGGTTCCACTAAGCAACTCTTTTATCTGTATACACAAAAGCATTTCCCAAATAATGCGTTTTTGTGTCACATAAACTTAAGTCGATCTCAGTTGGCCTTTTTTTGCTTTCTTATTGTATGATTGTCAAATCTTATTACTGTGAAAAGAAACACGAAGCGTTCGTAGCACGAAAAATTGACCTACCTAAATCACAGGTCGAAAATAATGAACCTACATTACCATAATTTTAACATATTGTACCTGCTATATTTAAAATTTTGAAAGAAAATATGTCCATATAACGTTTAACGAAGAAAATATTTATTTAATATGTATAGTGTAACATTTAAGAAAGATTTAATTTTCTATTAACGGTTTCTAATAATTTCTTTTTGTTTCAGGTAAGCCATACTTTTTTTATAAATACATGGTAAGTTAAGTCGAAAGTCAAAAAAATTATACCGGTTGCTTCTGTAAAGACATTTTCCTTGCATAGCTTCTTTTTTAAAGGATAGCTTATTTACTTGCGTCGTATTACTTTTTCTCTAAAGTAAAATGCTGAGATGGGCGTCACGGAAGTTGCGACGAAATAGAGGTTCGTGGTTTGCAGTCACAGTAAACACTTGGAAGAGTACATTTATACAACATGCCAACTTCTTCAATTTTATTAAAATTTATGAACAAAATAATAAATAAATTACAAAATTACTTTAAAAATATTATTTAAGTTTTAAAATTACAGAAAACTTACAGAAGAAGCTTCGCGCTAATGTCTACAGTACCACTTACTGGATCACTTTTTTTTTTGTTAGTACAAGTTTTTCAACACTTCTTCAACTTTATTTGTATTGATATCATTACATTTCTTATTATTTATAACTTTTTTGTTATGGATTTTTTTTAACAATACACAATATTGTTGTATCGCTAAAAAGAATCAGACATAATACAATTATATATATATATATATATATATATATATATAGCGAGTGTTTGCAACTTTAATTTTGTCGCTTCTCGCATCCCAATCGCCATAATTTCTTATCGGCCCAGTCTCCTTCTTGAAGACCTCTATTTTCCATTTCTATATGAATATTGGATATCCATTTCTTTCTTGGCCTTCCCCTTTTATTTCTCTGTGTAGGTCTCCAGTTCCAAACCTTTCGTTCTATCCTTTCTTCGTTCATCCGTCTCAGGTGTCCATACCATTTTAATTGTTTTTCGGCTATCGTATCCATTATTGTGTTCTTTACTTTCATTCTCTCTCTTATGTTTTCATTTCTTATGTGGTCAAACAAAGTTAACCCGGAACATCTTCTCCAGTACATCATTTCCGTTGAGAGGAGTTTTTGTGACATATTATTGTTAAAGACCCACACTTCTGACCCATACGTCAGCACCGGCTGAATCATAGCCTGATATATATTTTTCTTTGTTTTCTTAGTTAAAGTTTTATTCCACAGGATCGGATGTAGTGTTTTTATCATGTTTTTTCCTTTTCCTATTTTTCTTGTTATATCTTTGTCGTCTCTCCCGTCTTCGCTTAGTGTAACTCCGAGATATTCGTACTGATCAACGTTTTTAATTAATCCGCTTTCTGTTTCCATGTCTTGACCGATGCCTCCTATATTCATGTATTGTGTCTTTTCGGTATTAACCTCTAATCCCCATAATACAATTACTTTATTTATTATTTGCTTGATAATAAAGGGTCCTGAATTAGTTTAAATCGAATTAAATTTGATTCGTCAGTTTCTTAATGACTAAGAAAGTGAGAACCAAATATGATGATAGACCTCTGTAACGTCCATAACTTTGTTGGAATAAAGACCTCTGATCTAAAAATTATTAGCAATCTTAACTGGAACTAGACATCATCTATCCGTACAGAGGCAGGAGAATCCGACGATATAATAATCAAACCGGGGTCTGACAGGGATGTATACTATCACCCTTGCTGTTTAACATCTAGTCTGAGGATATCTTTCAAGAAGCAGTAGAAGATTTTGAAGGCGAAATTCAAATTTCGAACGGAGAATGTATCAATAACATCAGATATGTGGATGACACAGTGGTATTCGCTGACAGTTATGAAGCCATCTAGAAGTTAATGAATAGAATCACAAAAGTGAGTCAGATATATAGACTTTCACTGAACATTAAGAAAACAAAATGTATGATGATCTCTAAGAAGGAACAGCAAATTGAAAGAATCAGTGTGAATGGTCAACCAATGGAAATAGTAAAAACATACACCTACCTTGGTACGAACGTCAATGAAAATTGGGACTATTCCCTAGAAATAAAATCTAGGATAGAGAAAGCGAGATCTGCATTTCAAAAAATATCTAAGCTATTCAAATAGCTATTCAAACACGATTTATCAGTATCCATAAAAATCAGGTTACTACGATGTTATATTTTTCCTATACTGTTGTACGGAGTGGAGTCGTGGACTCTCTCAGACGCTTCCTGTAAGAAAATTGAGGCTTTCGAAATGTGGCTTTATCGTAGAATCCTGAAGATATCCTAAACCGACCACGTTACTAACCAGGAAGTTTTATTAAGAATGCAACAAGGAAAAGAATTGTTAACCACAATAAAAAAACCTCGGTCACATCATGAGGAACAGCGAAAGATATGGGTTGCTGCAATTAAGTCTTCAAGGAAAAGTAGAAGGAAAACGAGGACCAGGAAGACGAAGAATTTCCTGGCTGAAAAATCTACGTACGTGTTACAACACATCAACCACAAATATTTGAAAACTACATGAACAACGCCTATAAAATATGTAATAATACTTAATTTTTACAACACAAGAAACAATGCGGATATCCTTTCGAAAATATCCCTTCCCAAAGGTTTGAAAAGATTTATTATGAAAGATTATAGATTCAAGTTTTTTCGGAAAACAGTAAATCAATTAACTTGACTTACCAAAGGAAAATTTAAAAACGAACACTGGAACACTTGACAAAAGGAATATCAAATAAAATATCCAAATATTTTGGGAGGAACAGCTAATAACGTTAATTAAAAAAAAATTCCAAAAGAAGTATGGACATACTACGTAAATTAACAAGCATAATTCGTTATATAGAAGAAGAAGAAATTTCTATTTAAATTTGATACATTCAAATATTTTCCCCTTTAAGGTTTCCACTCCTATAAGTCTCGATTAAACTGCCCATTGTACTACCAAAAATAACAATCAGAAAATGTCAGCTTGTTTACAGAACGTTAACAGTAAAATATATACAAAGAGAAATATATATGTTGTAGCTATCTTGATATTTGCCATACTTTGTCAGTCAAAAAACACAAAATATTTTGACACTACCACATAGATATTACAAACCACTCAGATTGAACAAATGATAGATTTGTTATGGAGATCAATTCATCACCAGCTGCATTAAAAGTCTGTGTTACGGCGATTTAGTTCCCACAATAAATTATTAATGAGAACAGACTGCCACAAAACAAAGTAAAACAGACAAGAGCTATAAATATACAATTAGTGTATTTATTGCTTGTAGTAACAGCATGTGTTATTGAGAGGTGTCACTCGGGATCAAGAAAGGAATGAGATGTTGCACATTGATGGTTTATTAATGAAAAATGGAAAACTTTTTTAACTGTCCATATAAATGAGATATTAATTCTTAATTAAAAAATATTTCTGCAGAAAATTCAATTTATTTTTCTGCTAAAAAGTATCATGTCTATTACAGTGTGGTTGTTAATAATAGGGCACAGTGCAACTGAGCGTTTTTTAGGAAAAGATATTTGTATATTGATGAAATTTACGTTTATTAACAAAATTTTTCGTTAAAAAAAAAACGATATATTTATACTGATTTAGTTTAAATTGTAGCGGGTGCTTTTTGACAGCAGATCCGATATTTGATCTTTTTAATATTCCTTTTTAATAACAGAGGAATCAGTCAAATAATTTGTGTCAAGCTAACCCTTGTTATTTATAATGAATTGATAGCTTACGATTTTCGGAACAATAATAGGAATCCACAAGGAATCTACGTTCCTGTAGTTGGCTGTATACCATATATTAAAAAATTTATTAAAAATCCTTTGTTAAAGGTATATATTTAGACCCAAACGGGCAAGTTAAAAAGACAAAACGTTTTCGGAATCCATATTCCATCATCAGTATCTAAGAGTACATGAATGTAGCCACTAAATACATGGGTAAAAACCCGTTAACAAATAATTAATTACATTTAGTTTACAAATTTTCTTATAATGGTTTAGGATGTTAAAGTTACCTACTTAAAACATCCTAAACTATTATAAGAAAATTTGTAAACTAAATGTAATTAATTATTTATTAACGGGTTTTTACCCATGTATTTAGTGGCTACATTTATTTACTCTTAGACACTGATGATGGAATATGGATTCCGAAAACGTTTTGTCTTTTTAACTTAGCTCGTTTGGGTCTAAATATATACCTTTTACAAAGGATTTTTAATAAATTTTTTAATAATAAGAATGGTATTCAATTTTGTAATACAACTGAAGGGCCCTTTAGTGTACTAAACTTTTTGAAATATTGGTTTCTTCATTGTTTTTTTACTTACTCGGTAAGGAGAAACGCATGCGTCGTTCGCTAGCTAGGCGGCGCGGCGATTGTTACGGTATTCTTGAACCAAATGCACGGAGTGACGTTTCGTTGCGTTGTGCCGTTCGTTTGTTTCATGGTTCCGATAAGGTTTACCTTTCAAATACCCTGATAGAGTTCTTGTGCTTCATTTCAAGCGTCAACTTACCTCTAGCCTGATTCGATACGAGAACACTGCTGCGCGAAAGTTTGACTGCGGCTGTACATCTGTCAATGAGTAACTCATGAGTTCTAGCCAGCTTATTGAGAACTGAAACTTTACCACAGCAAAAGAGCAAAATTTGGTTTAATACTGATATTCAGTATGTATAGAGACTACGAAAGCACGGCCTATCCATTCTTTTGGCTTGAAAAGTTTTCAGCAAGAGTTGTCAGAAAAGTTACTATAGGGATAACTGATTTGTGGTGGCCAAGTGCTCATAGCAACCTTGCTTTTCGATCCTTCCACGTCGGCTCTTCTTATTATTGTGAAGCAGATTTCGCCAAGCGTTGGATTGTTCACCCATAAACAGGGCACGTGACCTGGGTATAGCCCGTTCTGAAACAGGTTAGTTTTATCCTACTGGTGAATTTTTGTTGCGATAGTAATCCTGCTCAGTACGAGAGGAACCGCAGGTTAGAACATTTGATTGGCGCACTTACTCGAGCAGATAATGGTGCGAAGCTAGAGTTCGTGGGATTACGTCTGAACGCCTTTAATTCCGCATCTTTACTAGATAAAGGTGGCAACGATATCTCTTGTGGTTTCGAAAGTCAAAAGACTCACAATAATGTGACTTTACTATGCAACGTCTGCGGGCAAAACGTTATACGATCTGTCTTAGATATTAACGATTTATTGACCAGCTTATCGTACCAACAGATTGCATCGTCTGTGGCTCTTTGTGTCAAACACTACTTATAGTGTCGTTGAAAGTTGTAGGAAGGCAGGTCTAGATTTGAACATACGGAAAACCAAAATACTCGTAATAAGTAAACAACAGCATATAAAACCGTCTATATATGTAAATAATACCAAACTTGAGCAAGTTGATATAATCGTTTACCTTGGACAGCAATTAAATTGTAACGCAGAAAGTCACGGCGAAATTAGATATAGGATAGAGCAGGCTAGAGCTGCCTTTAGGGGAATGTCCAAAGTGTTATGTAACAACGACCTAAAATTGGCATTGAGGATCCGCCTACTTCACTGCTACGTATTCTCGGTCTTACTTTATGGTATCGATTCCTTGACTGTGAATAAAATCAATCTAAATCGCCTTGAGGCTTTCGAAATGTGGTGCTATAGAAGAATTTTAAAGTTCCCTGAGTGGAGAAGATTTGAAACTCCACAATACTAGAACGTCTCAGCAAGACTACTGAGATTATAAAAAGTATCAAGCAGAGGAACATGGAGTATTTCGGACATGTAATGAGAGCTTCCAAATATAGGTTGCTACAAAATATCATGCAAGGAAAAATAGCAGGCAAATGCAGTCCGCGACGAAGAAGAACCTCATAGTTGAAGAACTTGCGAGATTGGTATGGTGTTGATACAAGCATGCTATTTAGGCGAGGAATAAAATTAAGATAGCTATGATGGTAACCAACGTTCTGAAAGAACATGATACACGAAGAAGAAGAAGTGGCTCTTTTAACACAGTCTCTCGTCTTATTTTAGCTTTCTACGTCTATCATTCTTTGCCTTCCGTGATATCATCAATGTAACTACTTTTTGTTCTACTAAATTAATCATTCTGTAGATCTAAATCATATTTAATTCATTTATGGAATTTATGCATTTATTCCGATAATTAAAAAAATATTAATTATTTTATTGTACAAAATACTATCTAATCCGAAACTGATACTTTACTTTTTATCTGAATACCACTTGAAACCACGCCCTCTCTTTATGATTGCTGTAACGATTAGAGGAGGAATCATCCGCCCCTTGTCACATGTCTATCAAACGTCATTTGTCAACTCCCTTAATGCCCGATACAGGTAATTTTAATACGATTTCAGTTTGGCATTTTAGAAATTTTTTGATAACATAAAATTTATTTTGGCACTTAGAAGTTATTTAGAATTTATCAAGTCAAGTATGTTTAGCATTAAAATAAAATCTTTTAATTTTGAGATAGTTTCTAAAATAAATCTCGTTGTCTTCCTCCTATACACAAATTTAATATTCGCTTTTTCCTCGAAGACGAGCATTCGCATCTGGCACTTCCTAGATTCTTTGTTAGTTAATATCACATTCCTCTTCCTCTAGCAGGTAACACTTGCCACTAAATTAGACGTTGTATATTGAAAATTTCTCGGCATTTTTGCAATATTTACGATACATATCCGATAACCTATAATCTCCAGCTCTTGCACAGTTGTCCACTACAACGTATTAAACCGTTACTTAGAGATAATAATACACGACACGGAAACTGGCGTCAGAACACTTTCACGGTCTATTAATTGCGGATAATAAAATAAACCCAGATAATAGGACGTATGCAGATAAAAATGTGAAGTGCGAGGTGATTTCCGTGAACACGATTATAATGTTCGTAAGGGGTAGCACCACATCACACCAATTCTATAAAAGAACTCTCTTATTAGTAAGCCTGATAAAAGATAGCCTAAAATAACTACCTAATCATCTTTACACCAATAATATGATAAAGAGCATTAGATACCCCATATTATAATTTAAAGTATAAGTCATATGAAAAAAAATATAAAGATTTGTAGCATTAAATCTCTTAAATTCTTTTAAAATCCCTTAAAACCCCCTTAAATATCTTAAAATCACTTAAAATCTCTTAAAATCAGATTAACATTTTTCCTTGATAAATACAATATATTATCGTGTTCGCAGTTTGAAAATAAAGCAATTATAGAATTCTCCAATGAAATATAAAATCGAATTGACAGTAGCCAAACTACTGCTTCAGTATTTCTAGACCTGGAAAA